GATGGTAGCGCAACTTTAGACTGTCCGGGAAATGCCGAATGCGCTGCGCGTTGACTGCGACGACGCGACGTCGCCAACATCAACTCTGTCCACCTCCACTTCACACCACGATGTCGCTGCCAAGGTCAAATTATGACCCGAGGCGGGTCTGTATCAACCCATTCCCGAATATTGACTTGCATCTCGGCAAACACAGACGTACCATCGGAGTCTACGTTGCCGGAGGTCTGGTAAGCTTCGAACATCATGTTCTTCAAGGTTCTCCGTAACTGATGTGATTTTCTCTCTTATTTCGTCCGGAATTGTTGCATTGAACGATTTTTATCTTATTGTGCAGTTCGGGCTCGCTCATTGGCTTTTCCTCGATGCTGCGATCCTTTCTTCTCACTACCATCCACCGCCGGATGCTCCGTATGACTCTGCACCTGTGCACGTCTCGTTTGTCGATTGGATACCGGGGATTCTGTCTGTCCTCGGGTTCCTTATTGTCAATATGATCGACAAAGATAGAATAAAAGGCGAGGACTCTTATCAGGATGATTCTCCCGCCGTGTGGCGTGCACGTCTCATCCTCTTCATCGGGTTCGCATTGATGGCTGGCGGGCTCGCTGGTAGCGTAGTAAGTGATCCATACTATTCCTTCTTTATCGCCTCTTAAACAACCATTACAGACTGTATTGGTGATTAAATACGTCGTCCCGAAATTTCTGGACCAGTTCGCTTATTATGGCTATGCAAACGTTGCGCAAAACGTCGCGGTTATGCTCTCTGCCGTCATACTATGGATCGCCCAGAGCGGTCCGAACGATTACGAGTATAATTTGTCTATTTGAAGGGGTTTCCATATGTATTATCGATAAATAACTTAGGAAAGGGGAAACTGTGGCAAATACTCAATGATGACTGTTATTTCTTCGTCCAAGCTATGTATCGTCCAGTTGCGTCAAGTACCATTTACTGTCACAATTTTGACTACTTTTTTTATAAAAAAAACTCTTACGCGTAACCGGTAATGATGGTTGTTCCACACTTCGGTCTGCTTTGATGGCTGAAAAAATACATTTCTCCTTTCGAGCATATTAAGCGTATATACTGCTCTTCTGGTCCGCTGGTCTCCACAGGCATTACCTGTATCATTGAACTCAAACAAGGGCCATACAGGTACACATGGACACATGCCAGGATCCCGGGATGAACCAGACGCCATATTTGGTTGATATTCTGGGAAGCGAATTACGGACTTCGCGCAGACTCTGGGAGGATCCCGAACGTCTTTGGTTCCTAGGACCTAGGTTGCATATCGTGCCTTTGGACGTAAGGAACATTTGACATTTTCTTCCCAGTGCTGTGAGATCCGCCGGCTCTAAGAGCCAAGCATGCGCTTGTGATCATTGGACGTAGCTAGCGGGTCCGTCTAGAACCGTTTGTCCAAAGCCCAGTGATTTGATAAGAGTACTTCAGAGCTTTTACTCATCCGGGCACCCGAATCCCTGACTCACTTGAACGCAAGAGACGGGTTGCAAGGTATATGGAGGCAGTGGTCGCACTCTGTATTGGATGCTTCAACCGTCCTTAGGTTAAGGTACCAGAAGCAAGCTGAAAACGTACAAGTTTATAGCAACGAAGCTCCTGCGCTGATGGTCATAAGGCCAGCACGATAAAGCTTTGGAGCAGAATACACCCTCATCCTCATACATCTCGTCATATTTGCTTTATGATGCTTGTTCTCCCGCTCAGAACACGATCATTCGAGTCAGTCTTCTCTAAGGGACATGAGGGATGTGAACGCTGAAATAACTTTCCTGGGTGGTATTGTAACCTTGTTATTAATTGTACGAACCGGCCCAGGCGCTTAGCTTGTCACCACAGCTGAGTACAGGGCAAACTATTAAGCACACAACCGATTCGGTGCTTGCATTGAAGTCGCATGTAAAGAGTCTGGAGCATCGTCCTGTGGCTAGAAGCAAGCATGCTGCGGAGCGCTTGATTGAACGCAGTTCCCCTCCTGTAAGGAATCACTAATATTCCAGTTGACTCCGTAGTTCCTTAATATTAATGATTCATATCCATATATGATATTGTAGGCTATTAATAGCCCTCCTCAATTCACTTGCGCAGGGGACTTGCGCGGGGGCTGCGGCACGAAGAAGACTGATGCCACGAGCAGCGCAAGTCCCTCAAGAATTGAGGATCAGACTTGCAGCAAGGATTGACTATCATTACTTAAGATACATAGCCCTTAATGTAGTAATGTTAATCTCCCAAATAAAGAAAGTTAAAGATTCATCTAAGACATGAGTGTTGTTACAAGGAAAAAAATGTATACAGTCAGTCCTCCTCAGTCTTGACCTCTAAGATGGAGCAGAACAACTCTCAGAATGCTGCACAACCACCCAGCCAACCTCAGACACTAGCTACTTTACTACAGGCATTACAATTACATGTACAAACACAGGCAGCAACTCACCAGATACAAATTCCTACCAGTTCTGAAGTACCTGCTTCTCCTAGTCTAGCCCCAGTCATTCATGCTCCAAGCTCAGAGTTTCCAGACAATGCTAGAGTACTAGCAGCCTTAAATTTCCACATACATTAGCAAAACCAAGCCCAGACACAAAGTCTGGCATACTAGCAGGTGTCTTCTAGCTCCTCAAGCTCTCATCCAACCCTACAATCCTCTACTCCAGCTCCTGAGGGCTCTAAGGTAGCAAAGGGCAAAGCTAAGGTGGAGAAGAAGTCAGTTGGCAGGAAGACTGGTAAAGGGGCACACTCTGGAAAAAATGTGTGAGTTTCTGGTCATTCTGAGTCAGAAATTGATCACCTTACCAAGGAGCAAAAAAATGATGCAGATATTGTTGAAATAACCAAAGTGAAGATAATAGCTACTTGGGATGACGAGTCAAGTATTAAATTAGTTGAGTTCATTACTACTCTAGAGTACTAGGCAAAAGTACAAGTTTCCTTGTGTAATTTTTGTTAAGAGGTAAGTTCTCTCCTCTCATCTACTTCATATTTTGTTTACAGGCTTTCTCTATCTTTGTGAGGTGCTACATAAATTTTTATGACTGTCCTACTCACCCTTATTGTGTTCTAGATTTCCTAGAACATTCTTCCTGAGTATATAACTGAACAGTGCCTCAATTAGTGACACTCTATATTCAGACAATTCAAGGATACTAGGTATAAGTTACTCTATTATTATACTATTTCACTTAGTGTTTACTATGTAATACAGGATGAGAAAAGTATACAGGGGGTAGGGATGAAGATAAGAGTGTAACAGACCTGTAGACCTTAGCTGTACAGTGTAAGAAGTTTATAGAGGGACCTATTTATTCTATTATCCTTAGAGTGTAAGCTTTTATACTCATTTGATTTGTACTAAAGAGACTTACCTGCCTGGTTATTTAGGGCAGAGGGCTGAGCTAATATAGACAGGTCTATAGAGTTCAGTTTGTTGTATAAATTCAAGGATGTTGAAGCAGAAATTAAGCAGGTGAAAGAAGAAGATAAGAAACAAAAGAAAGGAGATACTATATCTGAATTCACAACTATCATGTTAGAGGTGTTACAGTTCTCTGCTCTTGTACCTTCAGTTCTGAGGGTTCTGCACCCTTCTATACTAGAACTCAGGACTTCTGTCTCTCAGAAGTACTGTCTATA